GACACTCTAGTCTGGTGATATAAGCGGTGATTGTGTTCGCGTGTGTATATATAGTTTTTTTATCTTCTATAAGCAATGGAAAATTTTTCAAGATAATGTGAAAGACCCAAGACTTAAGTCACTATTACAAACACGTTAAGAACTTCGAGTTGAAAGTGTTAAAGTAAAAAGATTTCAATTGTCAAAAATAAAAATCGCTGTAAAACACTTATATGCGATGACGCTAAGACATTTAGAGATACTAAAAGTTTACCTTACGACATTATGAATTTTATTTGATCTACCTCTGCATGGATACTGCGGCACACCAAATATAGTTGCTTTTTTCTCTTAATTTCAAGGGATTCTGACTAGCAAGATTGTATGATTGTGGTTAACCATTCTCGGCTGCTTAATGAACTAACTTGTAAAAATTATTTGGCTGTTGCTTCTAGACTTTAATGCGGCTGATGGAGCCCGCAGTATTTTTGCTATGCAGGGAGATGGATACTACTCTTGTCAAATCATTCCTGGAACTTAGGGGTAGGCATGGGTTGGGTTAGGTCGATTTTTTCCCAACCCGAACCCAACCCAACATGGTCGATTTGATCGAAAATCAACTCAACCCAATTGATTTAAACCCAACCCAACCCAACCCAAACCTATCAAGTTTGGGTTGGATTGGTCGGTTTGGGCTTCGGCCTACTTAAAGTTGGATCCGATTTATTTATTAAATTTGATAATTTTTTTGAGTTGGAAATCACTTGAAAACCTCATTTCTTAAAACACATATACAGGGAATTCTTTCTAAAAATAATGTATAAATAAGTTTAAAAGTTATGAAGAATTTTCTTTTTTACAATTTTTTGGAATTCATTCATTTCATCATCATGTCTTTAATTTTTAATTTATCATCAAATAACATTGCATTTGTAAATAGTGCTCATGTGAATCGGTCTATGTAAAGAAAATGGATGTTTATAAATTATATGTCATTCTCTTATTTTTACTTTGTGTCTATTTAAATTATTTTTCCATCTTAGATATCAATTTCCAAACCTTTAAAATATTAGCAGACTTTCTCCAAATCTTTAATTTGTTGCAACCGTCACCCCAAACCTTTCGAAATGTTACGACGGAGATCCTTTTGGACAGTTTTCATCCAAATATCTGTTAGTTGACTAAGAAATTTGACTTTGACCATATTTCTAATATTTTTGAAAGAGTAAAATAGTAACTTCCACTTATTACATTAAAATAAGTGAGAAATGAAATTATAAAAAATAAGAAATAAGAAATTAAAAAAAAAAAAAAGAACCCATTTGTCTTCTTCCTCCCACCCCCACGCCCACCCCTACCCCTTCAACTGTTCTGCCTTCTCCTCCTCCTTGCTCTCATCTCTCTTCCGTTTCTTCTTCTTCTCATTCTTCTTTTCCTCTCCTTCTTCTTTACCCCCTTTTTCTCTACATTTTATAGTCTCCGCAGTTTCTTGCCCATCAGATATGTCTTTTTGTGGCGTTTTGCTCTTTTAGACAAGTTGGGTTTTTTGGTAACCGAATTAACAATTTTCTAGAGACTCTGTTTGGATATTTGAATCATGGGTTTCGGGGCGTGATTCTGAGTTTCTGATGCTGAGATTAGTTCAGCTTTAGCTGCTCATAGCTTTTGTTTAAGCTTCTTGTTTGATAATACCATGTTCTTGATCATCCTCTCTGCAATATTAACCAGTGAAAACTGAAAATAATACATTAAGAGATTTGGCCTCTGTTGGCGGCAAAGATAGTATTTAAGGTGAGAAGCTAGACGGCGGAATGGGATAGGATCCATAGTCGATGCCCTCCATTTTTGTCTCAAACATACTTTAACATGAATCTCCAACAAGCTGAGAAAGTGAGAGAAAATGGAGGAAAAAGAGAGAGGAGAGAGATACGACCATGGCGGAGGTGGTAATTGATTTTGGGTTTGGTTTGGGTTTGGGTAGGGTGGGAGGAAGAAGACGATTGGGTTCTTTTTTTAAAAAATTTCTTATTTCTTATTTTTTCTAATTTCATTTTTCACTTATTTTAATGAATAAATGGAAGTTACTATTTTACCCTTTCAAAAATATTACAAATATGGTCAAAGTCAAATTTCTTAGTTAACTAACAGATATTTGGATGAAAATCGTCCAAAAGGGCCTCCGTCACGACGTTTCGAAAGGTTTGGGGTGACGGTTGCAATAAATTAAAGGTTTGGGGCCTCTGTTACAATTTTCCCATTTTTTAATTCATCGGTTTGGGTTGGGTTTTAATTCATAACCCGAGACCCAACCCATCCCAACCTCAAATTCAATTTTCCAACCCAATTGAAGTTAAGAAACTGGCCCAAACCAGATTGAGCGGTTTGGGTTGGGTTATGCCCAGCCCAGGCTGGAAGATGCAAAGAACGAATATGCTGATAAAGCCGAAGTGAAAACACCTTTTATTACCTTTAACAATCATGGCTATCTTCCACCACCACAATGCTGCCGACTCCCATGCTCCTTCTTGGTAAAATATTTCTGCCTCTTTCTTAAGCTGTTTGTTATTGCTATATCTTAGTGTTCTAGAGAATATTCTACTTTCATTTGCAGAATAAATGATATATTTCTATAGCTCGTTTAAATTTTCTTTTCTTCCTTATTACTTGTACATTTTTGGCTTCAAAGCTCTGGAGGCGTGGTTTTGGCTTCACAAGATGAGAAGATTGTATGGGAGAACACACTGAATGCTCGTTTTGATGTTATATTTCGGCAGAAGCTTCCTGAGGTATGAATTTATTCTTCTACAATGTATTTAAACAATCAAAATCAGACAACCGAGTAATTTTGTTCAATGTTCTCTAGGATGCCCAGTTATCCGGTTTCCTTTCTTTACTCTGGGACGAGTTTACTTCTTCCCTCCATTCTACCCTGTCGCCCTAATCCGACCACTACAAAACATTAAAAGAAACATGCCCCATAAATAGAAATAGAAACTTAAGGCATAGGTTTTTATTCTTTGCAGTTCTGATTGATCTTTGTGCTTCATGCAGATTCGCAAGAAGCTGGTGAAGTGAATGGTTGACGAAATTTCTTTGCAATAAATAGAGTACTTTTCTGTATTAGGATGAGGTCGAGATTACTCGTACTTTCTCTTTTCCAACAGCAGTTACATAGGTGTTGTACATAACCTTATGGTTTTTGATAACATGAGATTTCAGGATTTTGGAATAAATGAATGTATAACATTTAATTTTGTTAATTGA